AAAAGGCCGTGATAAGATGTCTGTACTCAGACCCCCGAGGGTTGTGTGGGGAGGGGAGCCAGGTGAGCCCGTGGTGGACTGGCTCATTCTAGCAACTCCCGGGTGGTTCAAAGCCTTGGGGTGGGAAGTGACTCCCAACATCCTCCAGGGACCAGTGGTGGGGGAAGCGGGCCTGAGGGCACACCAGATCATGGGTTCCAATGACACTGATTAGCTGTGTAATATTCCCACATTGTCCCATCTCTAAACCTCAGTCTGTACTTGTGCAAAAGGCAGGTATTAATAGAACCCGCTTCGTGGGATCGTTGTGAAAGTTAAAGGCAGAAACCAACGCTCCTCGAACACAGGAAGCAGTACATACATCATAGCTATGGTCCTTAGGTATCTAATATCCATTGCTGGCCACACCGGCTGGGACGACGCTCCTTAGCAACCTTACCTGTCCTTGAGAACTTCTCCAGAGAAGGTTTGGTTGATGCCCATTTACCACGTGCGCGTGATCCCACGTAACAGGGACGGCGCACAGAGTGTTGTTCAACACTGGGAGTTACTTTGCAGGCGGATGATTCATGCTAATTAAACTCACAAGCCAGGGGAATAAAATTAGCCCGTTTCAACATTTCCTTTTGTTCGGTAATTACAACTCAAGGTTATGTTAGATGCCGCATTAGGATAATTTTGCCCGAGAGACAGAGAACATCTACATGCCTGGTGCTGTGTGTGTGTGTGTGTGTGTGTGTGTGTGTGTGTATGTATGTGTTTTCAACAAGCTCTGCACACAGAAACCCAGGTGTGTGCTGAGTCAGACCTCGCAGACTTATGAGCACTCCCTCCCACTCCCGTGCCCCGCCATTTATTTCTGTACGCCATGCCACTGCCGCGGGGAAGACAGGACTGAGACCATTTGAGCTTGTTATAACTTCACCGGCTTTGCAGGAAGATGGGAACTCAAAAATAGAAGCCAAACAGGGCTGAGGTTTATCTTGGATGCATCTGTGCAGGTAGCAATCTGTTTGTCATCCTGACAGCAGACCCTCCATCCCCTGATCACATTGTCATACACTCAACCCCAATCCCACTGCTTCTCCCGCCGACAGGCCACGGGCCCACGGAGCCTCCCGTTCCGGTACATCTGGTTCCCAGGAGGGGCACCCTGAGGAGGTGACGTTACCGAGAGCTCATCGCTGCCAGGCAGCTGTGGAGGCATCCACACCACTCAGGACTCGAATACTCTCCCTGACACGCCCCGAGGCGCATCTCTACATTATAGGTCGGAAACGTGGCGCTTCGGAGGGCAAATACAATCCCAGAAGCAATGGCACCTCCAGGTTTTGGGGGGCTTGATTATGTTCGTTTTAAAGGGGAAATAATGCCCATTTGTGAGGACTACGTTGTATTGAAGGCCCCAGAAGGGGGCAGCAGGAAGGAGGGACCTTGAGCCGCGAGCTTTAGTGGTAACCAACGCAGGCAGCTTGCCTGCCACTCTGAGCGCAGAGACAGAAAAATCTGATGACCAGACATATGAGCGGCAACATGAAAGTCATTCGCCTTTACAAACTCTTGCTATAATTCAGTGGCACTGGGTTTAAAATGCTTTAAAACAGATTTTATTGTTGTTTAATAAGTCAGGATCATTGGTAGGGGTGGGGGGGGGGAGAGGGGTGCAGGGTGGGTTAACTGTCTGATAAAGTGCCAAGCAGTACTTAGCCGGTCTGCGTACACACAATGCAGAACAATTCCGATTTCTGTGTGTACGTTTCTTAGGAAACACTGCCCTTTGGGGAGCACCGAGAAGTTAGAAGTTTACCTGAAAGTAACCTGCGATGCCTTCTGGATAAATCCTGGGTGAAAGCAGCATTTGCTTTCCTGCACACTCTGCCCACTCTCCTGAGTGGTTTCTCCACGGTTAGCAAAATCCGCGATGCTGGCTGAACACATTCTCTCTCTCAGAATCAACTGTGTGCTCTACCAAGAAACGCCTTTTATCCAAAACGAAGAACTTACTTTGCCAGAACGAGGGAAGTCTTATTCACCCCCCAAAGCACATCTAATAATAAGGCGATCTGATTACCACCCGATCAGAGTGCCATTCTGATCAACACTTCAGGTCACATTGATCTTTTCTCAAAGTTTTATGACAGTCTTTTCACATGGAAATGTCTGATAAAGAATTTGGGAAAAGCACTCTGAGTGGCGATTTTATAAAAATGCTGAGTTCGCTACTTGGCAGAATGTGTGTGAGCAGAGCTGCGTACGGCTGCCCCACTGGGCTCTGCCTGATTCCAAGGGACCCCACCTACAGAGACCCCCCAGGAGGGTGCTGCCCGCAACAGGACTGTGCGGTGGCCCTGACTAGTCAGTGGACTGACGGGAAAAATGGCTATACCTGTTTCAGAAAATAGGACATGCTTGAACAACGTGGGGGCGTGTCACAGAGACACATGAGCCAGCTCGCACCCGCGTGGCTAAATGTGGGACAATTCGAGCATCAAAATAAATGAAAACAGGCATATATGCTACCCCAGGGAACGGAGAAACCCTAATACCATGTTGATAATGATAAGTGGACATATAAATGGAAAAGGAAGGAAAAGCTCTTCCTAACCGTAGATGACAGCTAACACGTGTAAGAAGGAATGATGGAGTGGAGGGGGAAACACACCATTTTCCCACCTTCACGGTGCAAACAGTGAAGACAGGAACACCTGCCCCAGGAGTGAGGAGGAGCCAGAGAAGGAACAGGCTGCACGCTTACAGAATCACCAAGTGTTTCCTTTAAATGCTCCAGGAATCACAAGGCGCAGGGTATTGAGACAGCAGAAAAATCAGACAACCTTTTAGCCAAGTGATCAAACCCATGTCACCATGGGTTTCTCCACTGGTGCAGCACCAGATGTGACGGTCCGAGAAGGAGACCTCACACACACAGCAATCCAACCAAAGCACGCAACCCAGCTCCACCACGAGGAGCCTCGGGAATCCATGAGGGGCTGTTCCATGACACGCCTGGCCTTTGCCCGTCATCCTCAAACGCGCCATGCAACACAGGAAGGCTGTCCTGTTAAAGGGCCTGGAGGGATCTGACAGGGAGGTAAAGCAGTGGCCCTCGCCTGGATGCTGACCTGGAGGGAAGAATGCAACCGAGGCCATTTTTGGGGTGCCTGATAAAACGGCGCACGGACTGTGGATGGAAGTATTAAATGTCCTGTGTTTGCTAAGAGCACTGTGGTTACGTAGGAGAACATCCTTGTTCTTAGGAAATACACAGTGACGTATGAGGGGGTGTCGGCTGCCTCCTCTCAAATGAGTCAGAAAAAAATGTGTGCATGGAAAGAGAGAAAGAGGGGGAGGACAGGAGGAAAAGAATAAGACAAACAGGAAACAATGATGGTAAAAATGTGTAAAACTAGGGAAAAGGTATAAGGGAATACACCATACTATTGCAACCTCAAAAATAAAGCGTTTAACAAGAATAATACAAGCAGCCAAAACAACTTGGAGGGGTATCAGTGTTCCGCTTGCTTTCATGAGCAGGAAAGTAATTGACTTGTAATTAGTGGTGCCAAAGAGAGAGAAACATTCTGTTGCTGTCATCTTCATAACCACCACCGGGAACACAGCTGGAACCCATACTCAGGGATAACTGCTCTGAAAGGTGTTTTACTTGCGTGACCTCTTTTCGTCTTCACAACGACCCTGGGAGAAAGGCCCTGGAGTCACCCCCACGTTACAGGTGAGGAAACCAAGTACAGAAGTGTAGTAACTTGCCCAAAGGAATACAGGGAGTAACTGGCAGAACCAGAAACCCAACGAGGTTGATTACAAAGCTGGTGGGGTCCATTGCTTTGTTAAACTTAATTTTAAATTATTTATTAGTTTTCCTCAAAGAAAGAGAGATGAAGCACAACCTGGAAGAAATTCTGGCAAATTAGCAAAATGTGCTTGAACAAGGGTGGCAGCCTGGAGCCTCTGAACACATATACGGAAACGAATGATCGAATGAAACTCTCCTTTGGGAGAAAAACTGAAACTCTACCTACTAAGAACAAAAAACACACAACAGATTAGGTAAAATGGTATGTTGAAGAAGCATCACTTGACGTCTTCCTTTTTTGTTTTCCACTCTGGGACCTGCTAGACTAGAACCCATGTGGATCTCACCAGCTGAGGACCCACTCGCGGAGGGACTGGCAGCCTGAGCGTCGGGCTCACCCTCGGCTCCTCTGGCTTGGTCCCACCCTCACAGTAGTAGTGCCCCCACACTGTGCCTGCCTCCTTTTTTCAAAAGGCGACTCCTATGGATAAGAAATAGAATCCAGAGAACAAAGTTCCAAGCCACAGAAATGCTTTCTCATGCTTTTTGTTTTGTTTTGTTTTGTTTTGTTTGGAATAAGAAGTACTTTTGAGAAGCTGAATCATTCCTAGGCCATCCTGGAAGTTAAAGACTTCTAGGGACTCAAAAGGGGACCACCACACACATTCATTCAACAAATACTTATTGAACAGGTACTGCTCTTTTAGGCCTCAGGAAGAAATACAGCAGGGTCTTTTCCAAAGGGAACACTCCCTGGGTGAGTGAGCAACCACACTCAACAACATCACAGCAGCCTAAGGCTACACCATTTACAGCTAACTGACTAAAGGGTCCTGCTATAGATCTTTAAAAAAAACGAACAGCTAAAAACAAAACAAAAAAGAAAGTCAAGATCCTTTATGTAATTAACTGTATCTACCAGAGAACATATAGGGTAACAAAATTCTTTTTTAAAAACTGCATTTATATAAGTATATTAAGGCCACTAGATGTACCTAAATTCCAAAGAGTACCAGCACATCCATGTGTTTAATAACCCATCAATTAGCCACAGGAAGTGATTGCTTCTTCTCCTCCTATGTCACATACCCTCAGTTTATTCCCATTTTCTTGCCGTGGAGAAAAAATTAGCTCGAGCATATTCCAGGCTCCTGCTGTCCCCTTCCTGCCCCACGCGGAGTCTTACCTGCGTAGTGCACCGGGATCTCTATCTTCGGCCCGATGACGTAGTGCCCCTCCTCCAGGCTGTGGGCGGTGATGGTGGTCCACTGGCGGCACGAGTGGATCAGCAGGTAGTCGTTCTCCCGCAGCCCTTCGATGCATTCTCCTAGAAAACGAATTTCACACAAGAAACTTGGAATTAGCAGGTGCTTACTCCGTCCTATGCAATAAAATGTCATTTGTTAGAACTTGGCTAGTGCACACGTTGACAGATCATCTGGAAAGAAGAAAACATTCACATAAGAACTAGCAATAAAAAAAAAAAAAGCATTCCAAGTGGTTCAGTGGTTGAGCACAACCTATAAACCAGGAGGCCATGCTTCAATTCCCCATCAGAGCACCTGCCTGAGTTGCATGCTGGATCCAGAGAGTGGGGCGTGCAGGAGGTAGCCAATCAATGATTCTCTCTCATCATTGATGTTTCTATCCATCCCTCTTTCTTCCTCTCAGAAATCAATAAAATAGCTAACTAAGAAAAGAGATATGCAAATTGACCACACCTCTGCAATGCTCACCAGCCAATCAGGAGTGAGTATGCAAATTAACCCAATAAAGCTGGTAGGTTAATTTGCATGCACAGGTGCAGAGTGGCTGGGCGGGGCAGGACTCCTGCTATGATGGGGAGGGCAGGGGCCCCAGGGAGCTACAGGAGTGGCGTTCCAGCCAGAGGAAGGAAGGCCTACTGCACAAATCTTTGTGCAATGGGATATATATATATATATATATATATATATATATATACTAGACACACACATATATAAAGCATCCCATGACATGTTGATAATGTCAGTCAAGATTCCATAAAAATGTTTCTAAATTATTTGCAAAGAGATCTTCAAATGCCTCATTTTATCTAAAGAATTATATTCCAATGAGTATAAAGCAAAGATTAAATGGTTAAGTTAGGTAATACCTAGATGCTCTGCATATATTATGTCATGTAATACAGTAATGATGAGGGAGGTACGATCCCTTCCTGGCAGGCGGAGGAGAAATCAGTGCTCAGGGGGAAAGTGACATGTCGAAGCCACAGGCTGGAGAAGCGGACAAGAGCAGATTCGGGCCTGGGCCGATTGGTTCCAAAGCTTCTGCTCTTAAACATGACGGGACACAGCCTAGCTGTCTCTGCCAAAACACCAACAAAAACACTGGCCTGTTTCTCCTTTGCAACTTGATGTGTTTTGTCAGTTCTCTCTGGCCTCCTACCAAACATCCCCATCAATTAAATACACGTAACATTATTTTCCATTTTAATAATTCTGATGGACCCTTTTCACCTTTGAACCAATGACAGACTATTTCGAAAGAGAAATCCACACCCTGAAATGGAAAAGTTAGTTTTCTACACGCAGGAATGATCCCATGAACCCCGCTTAGGAATTTTCAATGCTCCAAAAACTAGCCAGAAAGGCTAATTCCTTGATACAGAATACCACCAGCCTGCCTTATTTTTGATGTTATCATATTTCAAGAATGAAAAGTTATTGGTGATTTAACTGTATGTTTCCAAATGGCATTTACCAATCCCCCAAACATTCTTAAAAGTTGCAGCAATTTTTCAATTAAAAAAAAAAAAAAAAAGGAAGAGAAGCAACAGCTGTAACGATCAACTTGATTATCACAACCATAAGCCATCAAACTGTTCCCAAACTAACAAGGCCATCATTTTTAATACAGTCTTACTGCAAGAATATGCTATCTTTGTTGCAGAAAAGGCTAAGAGTTAAAGCTTTTATGTGTGTGTGTGTGTGGGGTGGGGGTGGGGGGGAGGTGGTGGCAGGGACTGGAAGTGGAGGTACCTGAGCAGGAGGGGGAAGGTCCCGTTGTGGGGACATATTTCCAAACCAGATGCCCCTGCCCTGAACATTTTGGGAGACCAGGTTCATAAAGACACAGTCTGGCGAGGCCAATGTTACTCAGCAGCCCTTTCATCTCTCGAGCATATGAGGGTAGGAACGAAAGGTCTAGAAGCACCTCCCATCCTATAGACCCTCAGGGTTCCGTCCCCCCAAGGGCAGAGCGGGGGAGGGCACATACCTGGCAGTTGGGAGCTACAAACACGGGCTTCAGAGCCCAGGACTCCTGGTCTAGCCAGGCTCTGCCCCAGCACAGCGTGGTCCCGGGCAGGCACTTCCTTCTCCCAGGAGATGGGAATGGGCTTGCTTCCCAGGGGTTCAAGATGCCTGGAGCCAGCGAGGGACCCTGGGGAGGACCACTCTGTTGTGTGATATCAGCTGTGACAGGAAACATCAGCTATTGATTTTATTTGTTGTGAGATTTCCCTCCCTGAAGGTCATCCTGTTTAGAAACCCTGTCATTTGGGTCAGGTCATCCTTTCACAGGGGAGGAAAGGATCTTCAGAGCAGTCAAGACTCTTGCCCAGAGAGGCACAGCTACGTGGCAGAAACTGACTTTAGGGTCTCTCGCTATCTCCCCACCTCCCTCCTGCTCTCCCAACACCACACCGACTGTCGCCTTGAAAACCATCAACAACCCAGAGAGATTGGCCTATGGTTCCCTGAACATGCCAAGCAGCATTCCCACGCTGGGGACACACATCGGGAAACAAGACCAAGACCCCTGCCCTAGGATGCTCATGGTCCCACAGGAAGGAGACAGCACTGTCAACGAGAATGCTTGGATTATGGGTTAATCAGGGAGTGAGAGGGGCTATGGGTAAAGGGGGAGAGGATCAGGAGAAAGGAGCAATTCACAAGTTTGTCATATTTTCCAGCAAACATATGTTTACTTATTTTGCCTTAAAAAAAACAAAACAGCTTTGAGGTATCATAATAGACAAAGAAGGATAGATACTTAAGATGCACAATTTGATGAGCAACAAACACTTACTGAGTCTCTTTTATGCACAAAGCAATGGTAGGGTGGGCAAAGTATAATGCTTCGGGGCCTGCATCAGGAAATCAACATTCTCATTGGTGAGATGCACCCCTATGTCATTTCATGAAAGGTAGGGCAGGGTGAGTGCCAAGCAGAGGAAGAAGGAATAAGAAGTGGAGATGGGACATCAGCAGAGACGATCAAGAACATGGTAACAGGAATGGAAAGCATTAAGGTTGGTCCTTTGATGGATGAGATGGTCTTCGAGGAGAGGAAGGCAATGGGGAGCCACGGGAGAGTGTTAGGTACGAGAACGGCCCAAACCCCACTTCAGGAAAATGCATCTGGTGACGCTGGGAAAGAGGAATGGGAGAAAGGAGAAACCACAGTGCCATTCAGGGGAAAAAGAAAAATGTCATTTTCTGAAACTAAATTGTTACATCATAAAAACTGTTTTAATTTTATTCCACAGTGGGCTCTGAAGAGGCAGCAAAGGCACAATTGCAGTCAAGTTAATCGAAATGAAAATGTAATGTTAGATCCTACTGCTAGCTGATGCTGTAAACTCTAGCAGTCAAGAGGATTCAGAATGATCTGTGAAGCCATAAAGTAGTAAGAAATCAAGCTTATTTTTGAGCTTATGCCTTTTAATTTTTTTTTAAACAACTTAACCATGTGCCTGCTTTAGGCAAAAAAAGTTTCACAAAAATTGTCTAGAAATAAAACTTAATATAATCACTTAAAATATCCTAGGGTAGGCCACTAATAGAGAAATTATATATGAATTCATATAGTAAACAATTTTTGTGATATAATTAGCCCATTGCTTAACTGCTATGTATAACTTACTGAAATTATATATTTAGCTTAATGATGTAGTAACAGTAAGTCTAAAAGAATTATGTGTTAAACTAGAGGCCCAGTGCATGAATTCATGCATAGGGGTAGTCCCTCAGGATGGCCTGTTGGGATGGGGCCAAAACCTGCAGTCCAATGCTACCTGTAGCTCCTACCTGCCACTCCTGCTTATCCTGGCCCCACTGCGCCTGCCCCCCAATTCACCCATAATCTGTTCCTATTGGGAGAGGCTCACACCACCACAGCAGTGCTCACCAGCCATGAGTCCTGAGTCTGGAGCCCCCCTGAGGGGAGTGGCCTGTGGGATTAAGCAGAGACCAGCTCTCCAACATCCCCCAAGGGGTCCCAGATTTTGAGGGCACAGTACAGGTCAAGGGACCCCAAGGCACATGATTGGGCCAGGGAAAACCTTAGAAGGGCTCCAGGTCATGTCCAGCCCTGTCTTGCCCAGTCCTGATCAGGCCAATCAGGGGCTGGCTGGCCGGGGATGGATGTGGGAGGTTGGCCATCTGGAGAAGGACTGTGGGAGGGCACCAGGGTGTGTCCAGCCCATCTCAGTCAGTCCTGATGGGCTGGACCCCAGCAGCAAACTAACCTACCAGTAGGAGCGTTAGCCGACATACACGCTTCTCTCACTTATTTGGGCCCTCCTTCACTTTCTTTCATTTGCCTAAGCCTTTATTTCCCAAACCCTACTTCGTCACTGCTTGTCCTACTCAGTCTTGAAAGACCAACTCAAATGTCACCTTCATGAATGTCTTCCTGGTATGAACCCTTAACATATTGAAACTGCATTGACTGTGTAACTTTGCTTATATTCTATGATAAATTTAAAATTTTCTTTTAGAGCTATGGGCATGAGGAACTGAGCCTAACTTTGTAATTTTATATACATATATATTTTTAAAATATATTTTTATTGATTTCAAAGAGGAAAGGGGGGAGAGAGAGAGAGAGAGAGTGAGAGAGTGAGAGAGAGAAACATTGATGAGAGAGAATCATGGACTGGCTGTCTCCTGCACACTCCATACTGGGGATTGAGCCTTCAATGTGGGCATGTGCCCTGACCAGAAATTAAGCTGTGACCTCCTGATTCATGAGTGGACACTCAACCACTGAGCCACACTTGCTGTGCAATATTTATATATTTTTAAATAACATTATAACAAAAGTAACAACACTGTGGGAATTACAAGCAATTTATTTTCTTTGTTAAAAGCTTTCATTGTCTGTATATTTATCAAATGTGAGAACCAAGGTTATTTAAGTTAAGGAACAGAGATATTCAAGATCACCAATGCCGTCAGATGAGATTTTCTCTGAACAATAGCCAGAGTCACTGCCTCGCAGTTTTGCTTGAATATTCTTTTTTTTAAAAATATATTTTTATTGATTTTTCACAGAGAGGAA